AAAACACGAAGTAGCTATCACTCCCCAACATTAATAACATTCAATTGCAAGTGAAAACTTACTCCTTTTCCAAACCTCTTCAATTCTTCTGATAACATCACACTAGCATGTGGATTTCAACAAAGAGAGCAGGCCTAGGGCGCAGAGCTGGCACTGGCAAGAACATCAAAGAATTTAATCATCTTTTCACTGTATTTATTTTTACACTTACTATCTAGGGCAAGCAACATTAATTTTCCTATTTATTCTAGTAAGCTTTTCTTCATAAAAGATTTATTTAAATAGAAGTGATTTGATTTAAAGAAAAATATTAAGTGAAATTAAGTAAGCAAATCATAAAGATAGAACTCAATTGATTAAAATTGGGAAAAGGTGGCAGAGGTACATGGAGGCCTTGCCCTGGGACTCAGGGCTGAGCCAAAAGGTGAACCAGTGGGTTGGCCTGACTAATATGAGGCAAAGCACTTCAACGGCTGACATTCAAGCTGGGTTTCAATTAATTACAGAGATTCTGAATATGGCACCTGTCTGAGCTGAATTAACACCACTCACTTATTTCACCTAAGTAAAGATCACCGCATGTCTGCATAAGACAGTCTGAGAGAGATTAAGGTATTCTTCATAAGCAAACTCAAAGAGAAGCGGCAGGGCACAGAGCAACTGGAGCTTATCAGAATCACCTAGAAGCTCTTTCAACCCAGCGGTGCACACAAGTCATCACCTATTCCTACCTATTCAGGTCCACAGTAAATGTATGCAAATAGGACTACACATTTTATGCTCTTCAGTAGCCAGTTTAGGACCAGCACATTTATCAGTAACTGATTAGCTGAGATTCCCAACTTAGTAAACAACTTCAAAAGAAAGGTGCTTCTGGCCCTAGGAATTTCACCATCTCAGCCCTCCTCCATACTAAAAGTTTTAGAGACAATTAATGTGACATTTTCAGCACATAATACAAACAGTTAAACATCAGTTTAAAAAAACAGGGCCTCCTTTTGTGCCTTCTGTGCTAGACTCAACAAATCTGAGTGTGGACCTGCGTCAGTCACTAGGCCAGGCACCAGGACACAATGCAGCAGAGGAGCTGCTGTGAGAGAAGTGTGCTTGGCCAGCCTAAGGGTCACAATCAGCCTGGGGGCAGATTCCTGAGTCCTATCCTTGGAGATCCCTATCCAGCGGGTAATTTAGGAAGGGCCTCAGGGGGTAATTTAGGAAGGGCCTCAGGAATCGGCGCACTTAGAAAGCTCCCCTTTAGTTCAGAAGCACAGCAGGTTTGGAATCCATTGATTCAGATTATATTTTAAAAGCTGCAATTAGCAGTAAGTAACATCTTGCTCTTAAAAATACTGAGTAATAAAAGAGAAATATGAGGCATGCTGGACTATTTCAAAACATTAAAACAACATCAGGAAAGCATGTTATAACTATGCAGTTTCCAAGAAAGCAAGTGATCTATACTATGAATGCAAGCAGACTATGAAACTGGAAATGCCAACATGACACTACCTCTCACCAGCACTGCTCACGTGGAAATCTTGGTTAACTGTTAACTACCAAAAAGGCGGCTGGGCTAGCAAAAAAGTATGCAGCCTCTTACTATTCTGGATAATAAGCTGCTCACCAACTCAGAACATTACCACCCACATCAATTGGTTTACAAGCTTCCCGGCCACGGTAGCTTCCCTCCCTGTGCCGGCAGCAGTGGTTTTAAAGGAACTGCCTGTTGGATTTTGTAGCAACTGCTCATTTGTTCATAAAAGTCACAGATAAATGTCAGCAATACAGGAATACACAGAAGCCTGCCCACACATTTTCATCAAAAGATAAGAAAGGAGAATCCCTCCCTTGGCAGGTATGGGTTCTTTCTAACACAGTAAAAATGGACTGCCTTGGCCACTGGAAAAGATTCTGAATTTGAAAAACATTTTTTGGTGTTAACTTTGGAAAGTAAATGAATGAGAATGAAATTACAACAAAAAAAGAATGGGTTCCCAAACTAATTTTTGCTGTCCCCAAAGACAGAAGGGACACTTGCAGCCGTGGGAATGGTTCCTGGTTCTGGGAGCATACCCACCTCTCCTTCCCTCCAGGTGAAAAGGTGTCACTCCCAAGCCACTCCAGGGCTGCCAAGGGTGCCTGCCTCCACTCACGCAGTTGTTGTCCCTAATCCCTCACACCCACCCATCTCCAAACCTCCTCTTTATTCCATGAGCCTTCTCCTTGGCCACTGCCTTGAAGATGGAACGCCTTCCACCCATCCCAGCTGAATCCCCTACCTGGTCATCATCTTTCTGACTTCTCTCTCCTACAACTTTATCAGTAACATCTCCTGAGTAGCCACAAAAGGCATTTGAGTGTGTGAATCTCGAATTCACACCTTCTCATTTGCACATTTGAAGTTAACACAATTCCTTTGTGTATACAAGGTACTGGTAGAGGAAAAGGGTAGAAATATGAATTTAAGACACTCTCTTCTACCCCTGCTATACACTGACGTTCTAAGAGACACAGAGGAAGATAAAGAAAATCATTTCCATAAAATGTGCTCTAACAACTGTGTGAAGTGTTTCTGAAAGAGGTTACATACACCTTTAAGCAGGCCTTGACTTAAACTGCAGTTTTCACACTCCCTACTTTACCACTCACTCCCAATCCACCCTGCTCACCAATCCCAAAGGACCACTAAGTCATATCACTCTGGTGCTAAAAACCCTGTAACAAGTCGCCACTGGCACATCAAGGGCAGAGATGTTTGCTGGGCACTGAGGCTCTTGAGCTAGTCCCAGGCAGCCTCTGCACACAGATCTTGCACATGAGGATGTATCAGCTCTGGCCAATGGAAACTCCATGCAGTACATTCTAGACAGCCCGGAATTTCCTGCTTCTGCACTTGCTCACGTCACCCCAGAGGCCACCAAATATGGCTGTTTAGTGCACAAACCATGCAGCAATATGTGGCAGCACTGTCTATCCCCATCGTAATATTTCCCATTTGAGGGGATTATAGGTGATTTTTAAAAAGTATTTTCTACAATGAACAGGTAGTATATGTCTAACAACTGAGGGGGGGAAATTGCACACGGGAAAAAGAATCCATTCTGCTCTTCAGAACAGCCTACTATGAAGGTTCTTTTCTCTAAGAAGCCTTCTTTGATTTACACAAGAAGCAATCTGTGCTCTTCCTGATTCTTAAGACCGTGCACTGTTTTATGACTTCAGACACATGCCTTCCTGTATCCACGTACAGCTGTACCTTCATCTCTCTCTCACACCTATTATGTGTCAGGCATTGTATGGGTTTTACCCATGTTCTTTCATTTAATCCTCACAGGGAACCTATGAGGTTGCTATTACCATTCCCACATTATAACAAAGGAAGCCAAGGTTGGAAAACTTGCTCAAAGCAAAGAACTAACCTATGGTTCTTGGGAGCTGAAATTTAAATCCTTTCTGTTCCTGCTTCAAAATCCTAACTCCACAATACTTGGCGACTGCCTAACTGCCTTTCCAACACTAGCCTCTGAGAGCCCTGAGCAGGAAGGCAGGGCTCATCCCCGTTCTCACGTCTCCAGGCCCACCCTAGGGCCTCATCCAGAAGCAGAAACTCAAAGAATCTTCTCAGGATTACATAAAAGACTTATTCCTTGGGGGGAAAATGGTGGGATGTTGACTATGATGGTATGACTCTTAGAACAATTGCTGTCCTGACAGCAAGCTCTGTAGGTTCTAGCTTTAAAATGTATCTCAAAGCTATGCTGTCTCCCCAGCTCGACTGCCCCACCAAAGCCTTAGTTTATCATCTCGCCTGTGACTCTTCTTCCTGTTTCCACTCTTCCTCTCACACGTTTGAGGTGGGCCTGTGTTACTCCCTTACACAAACCCTCCAGTGGCCCACAAGCTGCTTCTTACCCTGGTCTAGAAGGCTGTGCATGATCAGGGTCCCTGACTACGAGGCCAGACTTCTCTACTCTCTGCTTCCTTCCACTAACTACCCTCCAGCCACATTGGCCTTCTTCAGGTCTGTGCACCGGCTCTTCCTCTGTATTGAATGCTCTTATGCCAGGTGGCCACATGGGTGGCTCCCTTCTCATCACTTAGGGATTAGGTAACCAGGGTCACCTCCTCGGAGGCTTTGCTTAAACACTATCTACAGAAGGACCCCAATGGTGTTCTCTGTCTTGAACTTGCATTTGTAGGAGTGAGGAAAATGAGGAACAACCTGCAGTTAATTTAAAAATGTTTCTAGTTAGTTTTGCCTATTTCTCCAGCTAGATTTTAAACTCCACAGAGATAGGAATCATACTACAAAGTGAATATTCAAATACTGAGTGAACCAAACTGAGTATAACACTAAGCTTTAGGATGGGAATTTTATTTTAAACACTTTAGGTGGCATTATAGCAATGCAAAAGAACATTATTTGGATCCTTTTGTGACTAAACACCCAGATAACAGGCTTGGAGATTGAAGCCCAGGGCTGGTTCAGGGGTTCATGAAACCTGAAGTCACAATGTGTCATTCTAAGTACATGTGCAATTTTGAGAGGGAACATGTCATAGCTTCAACTTAATTCACAGATTAGAACATGACATCAAAGTAGACTTAGAACTACTGAACATGGAAGTTTCAAAATCACATTTCCTTAAAAAAAAAAAAAAAAAAAAGAAAAAGCCACGTCTCCATATTGGCTGTGTATTTATAATTTTACCATCCATTGAATTCCCAACTTTGGGATCTAGAAGGAAGCAAACCTTTTACTATACTGATGCAATATTTCAAAAGAGATTTTATAAAAAATCTCCCTAATTTCAATAAAAATCAGAAAATGTACATCACTTTCAATAAAATTCAGAAAATACTCAACATCTGACAATTAGAAAGCCTACTTCCTAACAGGGGGAGAGATTATATCCTACCTGGGCTGTTGCTGGCCTTCAGTTTAATCCTGCTTTACCTTTTACCCTCTAATAATGACTTTTAAATGATTAAACACTTACCATAATGTGATTGAAATGCCTGTGGTTTGACAACCTGATTACAATCGTTACACACCACCAAGTAGAAATCATCATGGGCTGGACAGAGACCAAATATTGGCATGTCTGCAACAGAGAAAGAGAACATCACTCACTCATCTGATTCTGATTAATATGAAACCATTTGGGGTGGCAATACTTTCTAAAGGAGTTGCCTAAAGATAAAGTGCACCGGGACAACTGTTACTCCAATTTAAAAGAAACTGATGCGACACCCCAGGACTAATTGAGAAATCAAATCAGGCTTACAGAAACACTGTTACAAAGGGTTAAAATAAAATGCATCCAAAATCATCAGTATGATGTAAAACAGACAAATCTACTGAAATACAAGCAATGAATACATTTGTACAATAAAGCAACTTTAGGTGAACTCTATCTACCAAGGGTTAAGGGGAAGAATTTGTAACCATATAAAATGCTTAATGATTCACAAAGCTGTACCATCTAGTGGTTTTATTTGTTTACCTATGCATTCTATTCCAGCCATCTGATCTCTGAGTTCTATAGAACAGTTGAAAAAGAAAGCAGAGGTTTCACTGAAGAGTAAAAGAGCTGGTTTCATCAGCATGCAATATAAAAAAATTATTATTTTAAAATGTTTGGGGTTTTTTTGTTTTTTATTTTAGAGAGAGGGAGAGGGATAGAGACAGAAGAATCAATAAGAGAGACAGACATTGATCGGCTGCCTCTTGCACGCCCCCTATACTGGGGATTAAGCCTGCAACTCAGGCATGTGCCCTGACCCGGAATCCAACCGAGGACCTCTTGGTTCGTGGGTCAATGCTCAACCACTCAACCAGACCGATTGGGCCAAAAAAATTATTTTTGTACACTTTTTTCAGGTCACAACCACCTCTAGTCCTTTGCTTACATACTGATGCCACTAGACAGACAGAACTTCAGTACAAACACAGCATTTCATACATTAACCTAGGACAGGATAAGATACAAGTTGGATTTTTTTATAGTAAGAAGTTTAAATTTAATTAAGACAAATGTAGAACTCAATTATTTTCATATACATGAAAAATGAAAGTAAATACTGGTAATATACAGGGGTGAGCAAAAGTAGGTTTATAGTTTTCTGTATGGGAAATAATACAATAATTAATGAATAATAATACAAGAATAAACTGCATTTCATGTACTCACAACTGTAAGCCCACTTTTGCCAACCCCTGTATGGTGAACTAACCATGAACAATTAATTAACAACAACCTAGGAAACAGGGCTAACAGTTTCAGATCCAGAATCTAAATCTTTTAAATATTTCAAAATTGATTTTAAACAAGTATTTCACACTATCAGTACTCTTTATAATATCTGCAGTGAATGGGTAATTAGTACATTTCAATTAGGCAAATATTTTAGTAGACCAAATTTAAAGGGGAGAAAAGATCTAAAAAGCTGATCAGCATCTGCTTTCTTTCTCGTAAGATTTCATTTCACACTTTCTCCAGCTTGGGTGATCTTGGTGGTGCTAAAGAAAAAAGACAATGTCCTGAGGATATGGGAAGTGATAATAATCTCTAATCTAGCATCTACACAAGGCTATAGCTCAGATTTTCTTCAACACCTTCTATCACCCTGAACTGCACAGATTGCTAGCTATGAATCTGAAAAGTACCAGGGGCCAGCAAGATTCTGCGATGCAGCAGCAGCACTGAGCTGTTTATACGTGTTACCATCTCGTTCTACCCTCGTAACTGCCTAGGTAGATACCATGCGTTATAAGCTCACTCTAAAGGGGAGGAAACCGATTCACAGAGAGGTGAAGTACTTTAAGTCCAGAGCTGAGATTCCGTTCTGATTCATTGCAATGGCATACTTTTGGTCCCTTAAAGAGTACAGTAATATAATTTTTAGAAATTCCTTCCAGATTCCAACTCCAATAATTTGGAATGTCAGGGCTGAACACCTTTGATGCATAAACTGATTAGATAACATAAGCCTAGTAGACTGCTGACTTCTGTGACTAAGCTTAATTTAATGAAAAATAAGAGCCAAACAATGTGCTATTTTCCTTGAAAGCATGCCCACACTGAATTAAAACTAGAACATGTGGGGGAAGAGGAAAGGTTATACCAATGCAATGATCAACATGTTTTCCATGGCTATAGTTTCTTGACATGACATTTCATTTAACAAAAAAAAAAAATTCAAAGTAGTTTACCTTAAATTCCATATACCTCTGTGCTAAATGCCTCCAATACAAGACAAATAAGAAGGAAAATCTGAATTACAGAAATGGTACAACATTCATAATTTATAGCTAAAAAGTATGAAATGCCTATAAGTATCAAATCACCAGTTTCATATTAACTCAGTTCTATTAGTTAAATAGTAGTTAAAACAGCATTAAAGGTGTGGTCTCAATTGAGATTTATGCCTCTGTGATGAGCTGGTTTGCGTGGCTCCCCACAGCACTCAATGTTAAACAATGCTGCTTAAAATATGTCACTCTGCGAAATACCAGATACTTCTGGGGACGAGCCCCTCTCCCCCCACCCTCCCCTTATAAATAAGGCAATTTTTAAAAATAAAAAACTATACCAATCCTTTCAAGTCATAGAAATTCAATTGGCTGCAATGATGACTGTAGAAAATTGTTCTTTTTTGCTCTGATTCCATTGATCCTTTTGTTAGACTCAGAAACACTAATAAAATTAAGAGGGTAGGGGTCATTCTGTAAGGAACCAGGAATCTATACTTCTGTAAGAAGTTCAAGTTCCCCAATAACTTAAGATCATTTGTAATTGATGATGACAGTAATAATGGTTATTATTACTGGTAATAAGACAGGCTAGAAAGCCAGGACAAGCGGAAGAGGAAAACTGAGACATAAACAGCAGTTTGCAGCCATCTAGGTGAAAATCTAGGTGCCCAGCAGTTTGCAACCACCTAATAAATCCTATCTTCCCTAAACCAAAGATACTTAAGAGCAAATGGTTGCACTTCCCCTCCCCAACCAGACAGTAAATAGCTTAAATCACCTCACTTGGAGAGATAACAAATTCAATTAGTGCCATTTGCCAATCACACCCAAGGACAGATGAAGTTAAGGGAATAAATCTCATTTTGGTACTACAGCATAAAGCTGATGAATATTCTATTAAGATCCGCCCCTAAGATCTCCCCTTAACACCTAGCCTTTAAAACCCCTCAAAAGGAAGGTCCTAGCTCATGCTCTTCCTCCCAGAAGCAGGCACACCTCTTTCTTACCCCCTACCCCTTTTCTCCCCTACCAGGCATGGGTCTCCTAAACTCTAGGTACCCCAAGAGGTTTGCAACCAGGGCAGCAATGGGCAGCAGCAATTCGTTCTGGGCAAACCTCCTGAACCTGTCCCCTAGGCCCCCTTTTCCCTGACTTTTATGTAAGCCAAAGCAGCCCAGCCTAGGCTCATTTTTCCACCTAGTCCCTCTCCTGTTATCCTAGGCCCTTCCTTATTTCACTGTTCCCAGCTTTAACAAACATCCTCTAAAAATCACCTGGACTCGGGCTGTGAAATATTTTCTGCACGAGGTCAAGAACCCACACACTAACAGCCAGACGTACCCCTGCTCAGGGCCAAGCCCCCTTTCCAATAACAGTAAAACAGTGGCATTTGCTGAGAGACTGCTTTGCAAGGTGCTTTTATATGTTTTATCCTAGAACAGAATCCTCATTTTACTGATGGACATGCGAACTTGTCTAATACCACCCAGCAAGAAAGTACAGCAGGATGCAAACTTGGGTTTGCACTACCTGTGAGCTCAGTTCTTAATCTCTGACTAGCACACCACATCTCCCTAAAAAGCCTGCAAGTGTGCACACACGCACACAAAGAATCCCTGTGGGAAGAAGCACGGTGTACTATCTAGTCCATGCTACCCTATGTAACCAAGCTCCAGTTATGAAAATCTAAAGCAACTTTAATTTTAGCTTTCTAAATTCTTTACTTTCAGATATCCATATTTGGAAGTAAGCTAGAAGACACAAAATAATTTAAATAAAATGTTGTCTTCAGAAAAAAAGAGTTCTATATCTTTTTTCTGCACTGGGACATTCCAGAGGCCTTAGCAACAGAAACAGTGTGGAATGTTGTGACAACAGAGAAAATAAAATAATTTTTGTGAGAGACCGTATGTATGTTTCTGAATATTTTAATTAAAAAAATGTTTTATAAATTTATTGATTGATTTTTAGAGAGAAAGGAAGGGAGGAAAGGAGGGAGAGAGAGAGAGAAAGAAACATCAATTTGTTGTCTCACTTAGTTATGCATTCATTGGTTGCTTCTTGTATGTGCCCTGACCGGTGATCGAACCTGTAACCCTCATGTATCAGGATGATGCTCTAACCAACTGAGCTACCTGGCCAGGGCCTTTAAGTTTTGTTTGTTTTTTGTTTAATCCTCACCTAAGAATATTTTTTCCAATGCTTTTTCAGACAGAATGGAAGAAAAAGAGAGAGAGAGGGAGAGAGAGAGACACCAATGTGAAAGAGACACATTGACTGGCTGCCTCTCTCACATGCACCGACGGGCTGGGGATCGAGCCTGCAACTGAGGTCTGTGCTCTTGGCCAGAGTCAAACCTGGGACCCTTCAGTTTGCAGGCCAACGCTCCAACCACTGAGGCAAACCGGCCAGGGCAAGTTTTTTTACTTTTTATTTTATTTACTGATTTTAGAGAGGGAGGGAGGGAGAGAGACATCAATCTGCTGTTCCACCTATCTATATACCCACTGGCTGATTCCTGTATGTGCCCTGACTAGGGATCAAACCTGTAACCCCAAAATATTGGGATGACGCTCCAACCACCCCAGCTACCTGGCAGTGCTGTTTCTGAATATTTTTAAAACATAAATTCACAATCAGCCCATCTACAAATTAAGATATGAACCTTGCTCAAAAGTAAGGAGGGAAACGCTTGATTTACTACTGAAAACAAAGTAGAGTTGATAAAAACGATTTCCTACTAACTTAGTAAAGCTTACAAAACAGACTTTAAATATGCAACTTAAACCATTACACACTTCAAAATAATGAAAAGTTTAAACACTGTACTTGACCATATGGATTCTG